TACAAGACACGACAATGTGAAATGATTGCTGGACTAACATAAATATGATTAGAAATTACTGATGGATTGACACCCATTGATGGCTTATGAGTGGTCTGAATATTTCTCAGCTGATGGTTGAGGTTCATCTCTTAACCAACCATCAGACTACTCTATTATGATTAGAGGCAAAGATATATTTTATTAAAAAATTTATTAGAATATTATTGATTCACACTATACATAATAATAATTAACAGAATTTAAAATATACCTACAAACTAAACTGTATACTAATTATCTCATAGAGTTAAATACATGTTTACAATATTCAATGCAGGACTTATTGCAAGCAAATTCACATGCCACATTACACTTTGTCATATCATAATCCTGCATTTCTAAATGCCTATTCGAAATTTTCACAATGTTGAAAACACCAAATACTTGAATAGAGTTCACACAAGTAAAAACTTAATGATAATTTATATTGATCTCTATGGTAATTATCTAAGCAAGCACTTAAGCTTTTATTACTACAAAACTGAAAAACATACATATATTATCCAACTAGAAGGTAAATGATATCTCTATGTTGCTCTATCATAATTAGAAGCCAAAAGTCTCCATGTTTCCTGATCGCCTTTAATGAACATCAACTTCTAATTTCAGGCAAGGTTCTAATTGCACATATAAAAACAATCATAACAATAACACAAACAACTTGTTCGAGCAAAAATATTTGTCCACATATGGTGATTTTTCAAATAAAACAGTTCATTTTTGGTTTAACCAATGAACACCATAGACCTGCCTTGCTGAGTTTCAATTACCTATCACTTTACCTCAACAAAAAGTGAATTTTCTGAATAGTATTTGGATTTGCACAAAATTCTAACTACATATTACATAACAAGCACTAATATGTACTTTGGAATACAAAACAAAAATAATCAACTGAACTAAATTAAGATATGTGAACCCTCAAAAATTTGAAAGTTTTAAAACAAGTTCTTACTATTACATACTCTCTCTAACAAATCATATACACATAAATCACAAATGTCCACTAATATACAACCGCTATGTATTCTTTTGACAGCTAACTAATTTATCACATAAACTCATCATATAACATATTGGTATGCTGGATCAAGGGTATGATACTGAAACAAACTCGCAACCCTTAAGAATTCAACAGAACATAGGACATCTAGATAAATAATTTGTTACACTATATAATTTGACAATAACAAAGTTTACAATATGGACATCTTATTAGAAGATGTAACAAAATTTTTAAAAATTTTCCAAATTCTAACCAACTTTCAAAAAGTAAGGAAACAAACATTCACAAATATAGAAATAAATGCCGGATAATTCCGAAAATTGAATGACTGGTAACATATCTTTGAGAGAAAAAAAGACTAACAAGCAAAGAGTGGCCTGTGCCAACTTGGTTTTCTGATGAAGTTTTCAACCCATAGATGGTATAGGAATACCCAGATTCTGGGCCACAGTCACTTGAGCCTGGGCCGCATTCAGTAAGGAATGAAGATGAGCCATTTCTGCTTCAGATCTGGATAAATTGATAGCTTTCTTAAATGACTCGAGAGCTTGTGGCATTTTACCCCTGAAAAAAAAAAAAAACACATTTAACATAATTTAGGATGAAATAATAAACGAGAGCCTTTTCTTCTATCAGAGTTTTAGCAATGTCATCTATATTATAAACAAAATCCCAGGATCATATATGGTTCTCACTAATCAATTTTTAAATACATTTTCATTATCTAAGTTTTAAACAATAGAATGTAATTTAACCAGACATTACCTCTGTACATCAATTGTTCCCATAATTTCATAGGCATATTCACATTTAGGATCAATTTGAATTGCTTTCTCTACTAATTTACTACCATCTTCAAACTGTCCTTTATACTGTACCATTAATAATCTATATTACAATAATCAAATATTTTTACTGTTAAAATAGTACTCAATAATCAACTGTAGAGCAATATAGACATATTAAAACAGAACGTAAAAAAACAAATGTTGACGTCACTCAGAGTTTCACACTATGCGATATTCAGACAACTGATTCTTTTTTTTGCAAACGTAAACAATATTTTATTCATAAGAGAAATGGATTAGGGAACACTGAACAGGCTTTCGCCTTTATGACAACTGATCTATTTTCAGTCTGCATCCCTACTAACAAAGAATGTCACTTGAGCAAAAATGATTGCTGAAAGATTCGTCTGAATCTCTTCAATACATGCTTACAAAAAATCAATTATTTGTTTCAGAAATGACGTCAAATTTCCAGAATTCCACCATTTAATATTTGAAATCGAGGTTAAGGGAAATAACTCACCCTTTATGTACATAAATATTTGGATTGTCTGGTGCCAGTTCCAATGCTTTATCAAAATTATTTAAACTTTCTTCAAATTTACTTTGATCTGATAATGACTGAAGAAATAGAGAAATAAATCAAAATGGTTGTTTATTTCAACTTAAGGTCATATTGCCAACTGTCTTATATACGAAAGCTGTGGTATGTTAGAATCTTGCTCACTTATCAAATACCCAGGATTCAACCCCAACATAGGTTGAGAAAATACCTTTGGATTTTTCAAACCAGTTTTCCTCTGTCAGTGATACAGGTCATCGCATGAGACAATAAACAGAGACTCCTTCATAATAGTTAGTAATAAAAGTTATACCTGAGCATACATCAAATAAGCATCTGCATATTGAGGAAATTTAATAATAGTTTCTTGAAACATTTTGCTAGCTTCAGTTAAAGATGACTGTTGTTGATAAACAATACCTGTTCTATGAACTAAAATATACAATCATATACAAAGAAATAATCACAGTTCTAAGAACACTGGTACATGTTTGAGACAGATATTTTACTATTATGTAATATTAACATAGGTCATATATCCCACTAGTGCTTGTTGAAATTACAAAGGAAAAATATTGTTGTGTATATTAAAATGACATTCAAATGAAATAAAATGGATTGAGTTTTACATCCTACTTTTCCGCACCATAATTGCTAATGAAGACCAAAATGTAATAACAATTCAAAGCTCCATATAAAAAAATTGTTATCACACTCAATTACATTTTTTAATCTTAAGCCCCCTAATTTTGGTAATCCTTATGCTTTACATGAATAGAACATAGGAATAGCCTACCTGCATAAGCTTTCTGTACATGAGATGTAGGAAAATCTGGACTTAATTTGATACTCTTATTAAAATCATCTAAAGCCTGTTCTAATTTGTCTACAACCAAATATTGCTGAAAAACATAGACATATTATTGGGAATTAACTATCATCACAGATATGTTACTAATGACTAATTTTTAACAATGATTATATTAAGGCATGTTTTCAAAGGATTCTGTGATTTCGGTTATCTCAGCAAAGGAAAAATTAATAATGACCTGCAAATTTTTAATTAGATGCATCTTCATTGAAACTTATCTCTATCAAAATGGCATAGCCATATTAACACTTGCCCTAAACATTTTATCAACAATTGATATTGCAAATTTCAATGCTATCCGTTGGATTGTCAATAGGGCGACCATTCAATAGTATTTAGGTTACTTTTTTGGAAATTAATGATACAATGCAGCATTAGTGACATCACAATACATTCACAAAAATAAAAAAGGTCAAGTCAAATTTTACCAAGGGAAGAAATTGACAAATCTCTAATATAATACATACAGCATCAATACAATGTTAGAAGAAACCTCACCTGCCCTCTATGGTGATAGATATCTGAATTATCAGGATCAACTTTAATACCTTCGTCAAATATATCAAATGCTTCTGTTATCTTTTCTCTTTGTATCAATATACTACTTTCTTTTATTACAGCATTTGTCTTAATCTAAATACACAAATGGGACTTTACTAATTATCATTTTCCAGTATTTAAAGGGTCAAGATGCAATACATTTGTCATCCATTAAAGTATGGTTTCTCAAATTCCCATTTTATTATCATACAGTTACACCAGCAGAGAATACTTTCTATTATACATTCATGAATAGCATTTTCTGTCAACATTAGGCTGTTTTATCACATTAAGCAACGCCTTATTTGTCCACTGAAAATTATCAGAGGAAAGACAAAATAGAATTTTTTTTTAAAGTTTTACCCTTGGATCAACATCTGCAGCACTGATTAGAGTTTCAAAATCTGCTCCTGCTAGGTCTGTCTGTCCTGACATCATATAGAATGTACCACGTAATAACAAGGCTAGGTTGATATAACTAGAGTTAGCACCTATTATTTCTTGTGTACATAAATCTATAATATCTTTTATCTCATTATTATTCAAATTTTCTACTGCCTGTTCAAATGGACTGAAAAATCAATTGTATATCAACTGTAGCCGTTTTTATGCACAAAATATGAAAGAAAGAACTGAACACAAATTAGTGCATCAATGCATCAACATATCAAGAGCTCAGAAGGTACGTTTAGGAAATCTCATTACTGAGAGAATATTGAGAAAAAGTAAAAAAAATTAAAAATACAACAAGTGGAGAATTCTACATGGGTCCCAGAATGTGATTGATCAATAGATAATGTTTCTTTGGAGTTTGGAGTAAACATCAGACATAATTGGTAACACCCTAATACAATTTTAAATAAAATCTTAAAAATTGTGACAAACCCTTTAAATTAAATATAGTGGTCTTATAGTATAGGTCATCTTTTGCTTTATGCAGTGAGGTAAATTTCACCATGAAGCAATTTAAATATTTTAAAATCTTGGAAAACAAACCTTAATTTGTCCAAGCCATTTTGTACTCCATTCGAAGTTGTAGACGTGGTATCACCTTCTGCCTTAACATCATTTTCCTCCCCTTTTACATCTTTTTCATTCTGTGTAGACATACTAACTTTTGGTTTAAAATTCTTGACTGGATCATTTGCAAAACCATTGAAATAATTCTTCACAAAGAATTTAGATGGTAGGACTGGTTTTCTATTCTAGATGACAAATTCAGAATCTTCAGTACTTCAAATTATGTTAGAAGATTTTTACTCTAATAAATTGGTACAAATATATTTCTGACCATCCTTGATGGATAGAAAGAGTCTGCTCCAGTCTATGCTAGTGTAAGTAGTATAAGCAGTGTTAAGTTTGGCTTGATCGACAGGTGGCAAACTTGTTGACTGGATTTACCTATATGATATTTCAATAGAAACCAAAATCTGTGGGACGCCATAAAATATTAAAAAAGAACACCGCAAATCCATGGTAAATATGCTGTTCGGTCACTGAGTCACATTGATCTGCTAAAGCTTATTTTCAAAATTATTTGAGAATGGAGCAGAAGTAGCAAGATTATGTTGTATTGATATACAAAGCATGTAAATATTGCAAATCAATGTCAGTGATACAGTGTATGATTTAGACTGCGAAAATATTTTTCATCTTTATTTTATTCATCACTGGTTTCACCTTAGTCTTTGTGCATTAATAAATAATTAACCCTTACCGTACCTTAAATGTATCCTTGGCACATTTTCTACCTAAATCTTTTAATACTTGATCAGCTAACTGTAAATTAACTTGATTAGCAAAGCCTTCCAATATACATGCTGTAGTGATATCTGAAATAACAAAATACAAGAAATGGGCTTGAAAAACATAAGTGCTTGGGGCACTTTCAAGTTTCAAAAGTACCAGTATATCAGTACCTGTACGTTAAAAGGGTAAAGATAAGAGCTGTCAAAAACATAGTTTATACTTTAAAGGAAACATGTAACCATTCATTCAAACATGCATAGTAAGCTATACCAGGTAAAAAACAAATAACTCAACAAATCACTAATTAAAAAATTGTGATTTCCATAAGTTCAGTAAAACAAACCTTCTAAAGATTCTTTGAGTTTACCAACTTGTTGATAAGCCTTGCATCTTCTCCCAAAGGCTTTGGTGTATTTACTATTTAATTTGATAGCTTCAGTACAATCTGCTATCACACTCTCATATTTTGACTAAAACAAAAAAATATATGGCTTTGAAGACTATTGCAAGCTGACTCACTTCTGCACTAGCATAGTCAGTTAGAACTAAAAGAGGTCATAATCCTAGACTACATGTCAAATTTGAATGCTGAAAAGTCATATGTACATATGGTTTTAGTTAATTTCTTGGAGCTGCTAAAGAAAGACAACTGGAACTTTCAACTTTTGCTTCTTAGCATTCCCTACGACTTATTGATGTCAGTAGCAGTATATGCCCACTTGTCACTTTGATTTGGAATTTGGGTTCAAAATCAAAAGTTCACTCACCAAATATTCTGAAGACGCTGCTCTATTCTGATAAAATGTTGCTAAATCGGATTTTTTGTCAGATGGACAGAGGTCGATTGCTTCAGTATAGCATGCTATAGCTTGATCATATTTACCACCTTTAAAGTACTTGTTTCCCTTCGCTTTAGCAGCTTGTGCCTTTTCTAATGGAGTCTGAAAAATAACATTGATATGTCTACGTTGCAGAATTAATCTTAAACGTGCCATCAAGACATGGTTTAACACAGTTCATCCATTATTCAAATTTGTATAGTCATCATAACTATCAATACTTGTACAGTAAAAAATGACATTGCATTAGCATAGATAGTATAGCAAATGGTTTTACATTATAGTAGTGAAATGTGCACTTGAAGAAGCCTATATCAGGATCTACACACTGCCATGACCTTTAGGAAAATTTCAGACATGCAGATTGAAAGATGTGAACAGGGATCTCCATTAATATCCACACCACATGCATGGCTAGGTAAAACTTTCCTGTAGGTATTTCTACAGATGACTTGTTGGCTTGCTTAGAATGCCCCAGTTCAGATTACAGATATCTAATCTTTGGTTTGCTATGCAGGATTGCAAGCCTGACATTTTATTGTCCTTAGACTCTATTAGAATAGGGTTTGATCATACAGTTCGGGCCTTGAAGCCTAGAGCCAGTAGCTTGACATTCTAACCAAACCCAAAATAATCCAATTGACAACAAATCAGACCTGAGCAACAGCAGATTTACTTGGTGAAGGTCTACTTTCGGTTTCTTCGGAGATTTCATCTCGACTTTCATCATTGTCATCGGGTTGTGATTTGCTACGCCTGTAAAACCAAATACCGGCAAGTCCGAGAGCCACTGGAGCACCAACATAGAGTGCGATATCCCATTTTGTCCAGCCTTCAGTCCATTCTTTCAAACTTAACCTAACATTGGACGCCATGCTGGATTAAACTCACGTGCTAGTGACGAGAAAAGGCGAGAACAAAATAATGAATCACAAAAACTTAATGAAACGAAAATATCGTCAGAAAAAATAGTTTAATTAAAAGAAACTATATCTATATAGAATTTAGATTTCGTTTAACTAGGCCTAATAAATAAGGTAATAGCTTATAAAAAAAATTATAGGCCCATATATAACTGTCTTCAGCCTACTTTTTAATAAGAAAGATTCGCCATTTTATGTGGTTCATGTCCTGCCTCGATATAGTGACTATAAAATCTTTCTAACTACTTAGAAGCATGCCCTGTCTCGACTAATAAATCATTATCACCACTTAGAAGCATGCCCTGTTTGGATATTATGACTAATAAATCTTTATCACTTCTTAGAAGCATGCCCTGTCCCAATATAGTGACTAAGCTACTTAGTAGGCCCTATACATCACAACTTACATCCAAGCATGACTTGTTCGATATAGTGACTACAAGGCTAAATATTTAACCTTACTTACAAGCATGTCCTGTCTCGATATAGTGATTACTAGTCAATATTTATAAAAACGTGCAAGCATGACTCGTCTCTTTATATCTTTATCACTACTTATAAGAATTTCATGCCAAGATATAGGAGTGACAACGAAATATCTGTATAACTAGTTACAAGCATGTCCTGTCTCGATATAGTGTCAAATATGTCTTTACCATTAATTACTTATCATGCCAGGATACAGTGACAACGAAATATCTGTATAACTCTATTTACTAGCCTGATATAGTGACTAATAATTATATTTACCGTAAGATTTGAACGACATTTAGAAGATGGTGTTGCATTAGTCTATCGTGAAATATAAACTGATCTAATCTCACCAAATTTGGACTAAAGAGTATCTACACTCTGTCTACAATGAGGTTAGAATTGAATTTCTCTCTCTCCGTTAAGAAAAATTGAAAATTGAATTTTCATATTACACCATTTACCTTAATATATCTTCGGGTAAATAGAAATAAGGTTCAGTCATTTTACAGAAAGGTCACGTGAAAATCCCCCCTCCCCCCCCCCCCCCCCCAACCTTCTAAAATCATATTACAAATAATAACCTTTTCAATAGTTGGTATTTTTAGGAACCAGGGGCGTATGGGTTCTGACGGAGTTTCCGTTTCCCTTCATTTTATGAACTCTAACCTTTGACATTCAAAATAAATTTATCCTGGGTTAATCTGATTCGATTTGGTCTAAAAACCATTTATCCTTTATCAGAACAAATTTGATTATGGTAATCAGCGCATTTATTGTAGCAGTGAATCAAATCGATATACGTTATTCGAGTAAATCAACTTTGGAGCGTCGTAGCTCTGTTAACTTCCGCTTTAGTAATGGCGGCCAACATGTCAAAACCATTACGTGCAGGGTAATTTCTTCCTGCCTTGCCGCCAACAAGTGCGTAAAAATGCCTTAAATATATCTTATACCGTAGACTAGGCTTATGTCAAAATAACAATTCGAAGAATGGTGTTCACGAACATGGACAAAATACCTTTTTTGACTGTGATAATGGCTTAAGATTTTGTCTTGTCAGTCAGCGATCAACTCTGTCCCAACCCCACCCGCTTCTAACCACAGAAAAGTGCAATTGTTTCAATTTACTTCGACGTGATAATTACGTACGACCAACCCATTTACGTTTAGCATTCAACGTAATCCTTTTTAATAAATCATACTCGCTACAATCTTATTAGCTTGACATTAGCTTATATTGAAAACCAATCAGTTGTCTGGTAGATTAGTCCAAATTAACACACATTGGATTCTATAAGGTTACATAACGCTACTGATTACTGGTATTCAACACCAAAAGACAGTGTCATTGCCCAAATTGTATTCACAACTAATCATCAATTATAAATAGTATTAACATGTGCTGAACAACCAAACTTTCTTTCGGCCATTTTCATTTTCCTTAGTTACAGTAAACAATCTTCACTTATATAGAACTCGACGTAAAATCTGAAATCATTCACTACTACAGCTTACCCCATTTCAAGAAGACAAGTGTACAAAACGACCGTCATTTCATAAAATATGAGAGAAATTGTTCATATGCAAACTGGCCAATGTGGCAATCAAATTGGAGCTAAGGTAAGTTAACCAAGTTTTAAACTTCTATAATATATCTAATAATAAAGTATTTTTGTTTTAATATTTCTATAACGCTCTACAATTGGTGTATTGTATTAATTTAACACTGACAATATTTTGTTATTGCATATCGAATCAGAAATAAGGATCGCGCTTGCCCTTTGAGAATTATTATTTCATTCGAGAACCCTGCTGGTAATTCGGGGATACTCGATGTGTATCATCTGCATAGTTTGACAAATTTATATCCTTTTCGGAAATCTCTTAAAGCTTATTCCCATCGATGAGAAATATTTACCTTTCAGTTCTGGGAAGTGATCTCTGATGAACATGGTATTGACCCAACTGGAACTTACCACGGTGATTCTGATCTTCAATTGGAGAGAATCAATGTTTACTATAATGAAGCCACCGGTGGAAAATATGTACCCAGAGCTGTTCTCGTCGACTTGGAACCTGGTACCATGGATTCTGTACGATCAGGACCATTTGGGCAGATTTTCAGACCAGATAATTTTGTCTTTGGACAATCTGGCGCAGGTAATAACTGGGCTAAAGGCCATTATACAGAAGGGGCTGAATTAGTTGATTCCGTCCTTGATGTAGTCCGAAAAGAAGCGGAGAGCTGTGATTGTCTACAAGGATTCCAGTTGACCCATTCTCTGGGTGGTGGAACTGGTTCTGGTATGGGAACTCTACTCATCAGTAAAATCCGTGAAGAATATCCAGATAGGATTATGAACACCTTCTCTGTTTGTCCTTCACCGAAGGTAAGTTTGAAATCATAAATGGCTTGCAACATTTCGCTATTCTTTCTATATTTGTCTAGTAACGCCCTCGAGACAGTTTGTTTCGCGAACACACAATGTCATTCTGACCCTTCCATACAGTTAGCACTACATTGATGTTTTGACTTCACATAGATTATAATGTTATTACGGTATTTTTATCCATAGCGCATGGGACTAATTAGTTTGTTTATGAGTTATTTCGTTAGAAGAAAAAAATACGGATAAATTCGGGTTTTAATAGATAAATACCCATGTATTCCCTAGTCCATTAAATATTATCTGACGTGATATTATTTCTAATGATATTTCATTTGGATTCGTCTGTGTTATAAAATAGACTGATAATAATATAGTATCATCATATTTTTCATCTGTTTCATTCACTCTATTAATCATGTCATGTCTTCATTGCAGGTATCTGACACAGTTGTAGAACCATACAACGCCACCCTTTCAGTTCATCAACTGGTGGAAAATACAGACGAGACTTTTTGTATTGATAACGAAGCGCTTTATGATATATGCTTCCGAACCTTAAAGCTAACCACACCTACTTACGGTGACCTGAATCATTTGGTATCCGCCACCATGTCTGGAGTGACCACCTGTCTCCGATTTCCTGGTCAACTGAATGCAGATCTCCGAAAACTAGCCGTCAATATGGTACCATTTCCACGTCTTCATTTCTTTATGCCTGGTTTTGCTCCTCTCACCTCTCGAGGTTCACAACAATACCGAGCTCTCACAGTACCAGAGCTCACCCAACAAATGTTCGATGCCAAGAACATGATGGCTGCCTGTGATCCTCGTCATGGTCGTTATCTGACAGTAGCAGCTATGTTCAGAGGTCGTATGTCCATGAAGGAGGTAGATGAACAGATGTTGAACATTCAGAATAAGAACAGTAGCTACTTTGTTGAATGGATCCCAAGCAACGTGAAATTAGCGGTTTGTGACATTCCACCAAGGGGACTTAAGATGTCAGCAACGTTCATAGGAAACAGCACCGCGATTCAAGAACTATTCAAACGCATTTCCGAACAGTTCACTGCTATGTTCAGACGAAAGGCTTTCCTCCATTGGTATACTGGAGAAGGTATGGATGAGATGGAATTTACTGAAGCTGAATCAAATATGAATGATCTGATATCTGAATATCAACAGTATCAGGATGCTACAGCTGAAGAGGAAGGCGAATTTGAAGAGGACGCCGAGGAAGAGGAAGCTTAAAACCATTATTCTGTTATATTTACGCAAATCGTTCTTTTCAATTTACGTTCATTTTTCGTTATTTAAAAATATATTTGTTGCACACCCCGAGCCGATTCAATATGTACGAATAGTCTATTTTGATTTAGATAGATTAAATAGTAATAGAAACTATACGAGTCTGGCATATTATTGCTTTCTTTATTATTTAAACTACCTAAAAAATACAATGGACTGACAGTGTTAATGACAAATATATGCTTTAAAATGCGCATATAAGAGAAGTGTACTGGGCCAGTACATTTGGGAGAATCAAACCCTTCCTTCACCGAAATCAAATTTAAATTTGATAATCATGTTCGTGTCTTGAAATTCCCCGAATGTGCACAATTAGTATAGATCGTTAAAATCAACGCATACTATGCTAAATATTAATAAAATATGTTAATTTCAAACTGGTGTCATTTTATTCTCTAACGAATTTTTGTAGGTGGATTGAGATTATTATAGTCAATCTGATTAAATACACATCTTTTTGTCTTATATAAATATTATTTTATATAATACACAATAAAAGGTGAATGGAATGTATGTATCTAGTATGTTTATTGTCCCAATCAGTAGTTTAAAACGATGACCTTCCCGGACCATTGTCCAACTACCAATAATTCTTCTTTAGTTAAACACACTGCAATAGGTTCATCTATTCCATCAGCTTGAGTTAAAATAAATCTACGGAACTTTCCATCAGCTGATACCAGATGAACTCTATGATTATCACTATCAGCTACAATCACGTTACCGTTTGAATCGGCACAAACCCCACATGGATGATGTAGATGTCCAGAACTCTTTCCAAGAGATCCATACCTGAACTTATATTCTCCATTTTTATCAAAGAACAGAATAGAATGTCGTTCAAAGTCGGATACGATGATGTCTCCATTTAATTCGTTCACACAGACACACCGAGGGTTTAAAAATAAATTGTTGCCGCTCAAACTAGTTTTTAAGGTCATTTTGGATCTTCCCTTTTTGTCAAATATACAGACCTTGTGAGTTTCTGGATGACAAATTACGATATCACCATCATTGGTCTCTGTCATTCCCCACGGAGAATCTAAGGTGCACAAGTTGCATGGAAATGATTCACCATCAGTGTAGTACATACGGTAACTCTGTTTGTGTTCGTCATCTCCACGATCTGCTACCAAAATCTTGCCAGTAGACAATGAAATCACAGTAGTTGGTCTGATTAGGTTTCTTGAAATGTCCTTGACATGTTTTCCACTGATAGAATAAATGCTACAAGTTTTGGAGGAAAAAGTTGTGATCGCTATTGTATCATCGATTGTTCCGCAAACAGCCATCAAACTTTCGCCAACCGAAAACTTACTTTCAAATTCGGCGTTGTCACTTGACTTGGCGGAGGAATCTGGCTTAGATTTTCTAAGGATGCTGTGAGGTTTATCCAGAATTTCACTTTTTCGGGATGGTACTTGAGTGGGTAAATGTACCGGTTTGGTTGAGTTCCTGGAGTCATTTGAAGCCTTTTTCCGAAGTGTAATCGCCTTCGACAGTTCTGCTAAGCCCATTTCATTAGAACACTTGATAACTGCTTCTAGAAAGTTATGAGTTTCGCTCATACTTTCTCGGGCACCTTCCAATTCTGCTATATTCTTCCTCAGTAAACTCTCTTCAATTTCGACTTTACTTCGAATTTCCTTTAACAATTTATCCTTCATCTCATCAATGTCTTTATGAAGTTTATCTGCCTGGTTTACAATAACATTCTCAGTTCCTTTCCTAGCAGCCTGGAGTTTTTCTACATAATCTATAGTATCAGATTTTAACGATTCAACGCTTCTTTGATATGCCTTGTAGGATGATCTGAGAGATTCTAATGAAGCGGAACGTCCTGGCTTGATGTTCAAAGTTTGTGTGGAATGGAGAACACAGTTGCCAATATGACAGGAAGCACATCCTGTGATCGGATCGCCTTTGTAGTTACCATTAGAATGAGCTCTAGGCTTTAGCTCTACCACTTTCTCAATAGAAACAATCTTGTGTTGATCAGTGCCTTGGATTCTGGAATGTTGCCGTTGACAATGTTCACACAACTCTAAGCTGCAATCCACACAATATACTGCAGCTTTCTGTTTAAGATTACATAACTGACAGATATTGCCAGACTGCAATTTCTTTTCCCAATTACTAAATATAGATCCTTCACCACCGAATCTCGGGGAACATGGTGATGTGGGTTCTTCATCTATTGGACTCAAATGGGACGCCATGTCTTCCGTACCTGTAAATACCAATAAAACATTGCCCGGGGTCATATTTATAATCACGAGTTCGATGCTACATTTTGTGGGGGGGAGGGGGGGGGGGGTGGAGACTGACAATATCTGCCTCCAAAAATTGATATTTCATCTTAAAATTCGACAAATATCACTGATTTACCTAAACGCGATATATTTGCAGCATCAAAGGAACTAAATACCATCATTATATATCGAAATATTTCTAAATCTTAAACAAACCTTCAGAATCTGGCGTGGAATTGTTTTTGGGTACGTCTTGTTCCTCCATCGTTGCTCAATCATCTAACTAATTTGTCTTTGGGATGAAAAAATCAAAGCCTTACCTTCCAAGTAATTCGAAAGTCACCTCGAGTAATATGAGAGGGGTATATAGTGAATAAAAGTCCGTCTATTCTATACCTATATATCTTCAGAGTAGTGTAATTAATAAAACTACAACTCAGTCATTCGTAAAGGTAACTCAACGTCAAGGTTATTTGAGACTTTATTGTATGTCTCCTGATGTCAGTTTTAATGTTTTATTATTTGATGGAGTGTAGACTACAAACAATATCAACAAAACACTGTTGTTGTTTTAAAACTATTATCGATATCATACTTAAAGTGACTGTAAGTGGACCAGATTGTCCTCTTGGTCATTCTTCAACGTATCAAATTATTGGGTCAAATTAAAAATTATTTAATGAATGTGAGCTCCATTAGAATATGTACTTAGGTGAGTGTTGCTAGTCGCTAAAAAGGGGGGGGGGGGGCATTAGTTTTTGGAACCCCAATTATACCCCTATTTCTGATGATTTATAAGGTTTGCCTAAAAATATGTGTCAAAATACAAAAGTTTTTGCTTGTTGAAGACAATTAGTTGATGGACGCTTCCACCACTCGTCCCTGCACATTGAAAAAAAAACATGTTTGTTAATATCATCTTTATTCTATATATTTCACCGCCTATTTTTGATTGATAGTTACATTGATTCAGATGTGCTCAACATATTTGTGATTTGTATATACAGGAAAAACAAAATAACAAATATTATAAATCTACACAGGCATACTCTCGACGCCGCGTTTCGAAATGTTCTCTTTAAACCATATTGTTCGTTTTGGCTGATTGAACACAGCTTGTATTGTGTTTTATAGAAAATGTCATTGATGATTTCAGTAGTTTATTGTTGTCACGGAAACTGATAAAAACTTCAGTAAAGAGTTCTGTCCCTTCACTGATAGAAATGTCATATTCAGTCGAAAATCTGAAGTTTCCCATTCACGAGTGACGCATCATAGCAAAGGTTGCAAAAGACGCGTTTCTTCCAAGTGTGCGAAGTCTACTGTGTGTGGAAATGGTGAAAATAAAGTCCTTCAAAAAGGAAAATGATGTTGGAAATTCACCGAAGAATAGCTGAGCACATTATACTAGCATCCAAATACCCACAAATGAAAAAGTTGAAGACTATTTAAAATATGTAAGTAACAATAAGAACAATATACTTTCATATTTAACCTAAATGGCCTGTAACGAAGCGAAGTGAAGAGCGACTTCATCGTAAAACTACATATATGAAGATTCAGATAGCATTATGCCAAATCAATTTTCAAAGGCAGTAATGTCGTCGAGTTTCAAAGAGTTGTGTTTTTGCACAAGTCCACAAAGAAAAATTTCCGAAAAATGCACTTAGTACCTTATAATTACGCTATGTATGTTCACAAACCTTGCAGTCCGAAAAAAAAATGGAAAAATGGTAACAAAGTTTGAACTGCTATATACAAATACAGGTTCCTGGTTTCCTATAACTGACCGAGAAGCTGAAAACAACTCAATAGAAATTGTTGACATCCTAAACATTGTTCTGACTATTGGACAAGAAATTCCTTTACCCTTTAATAAGATAACGTAATTTAGCTAGGCGAGTATCTGATTTTGAGATTACTTCATTATAAGAACTGTACAGTCTTCTTGAATTTAATCAGATCGACATAGACACGACAACCTAGTGATAAACTCAATTGAAGACTTGCTCGTCTCAAACCCTGCTCTCTTTTGTTAACAAGACTTTTCAATATGTCAAACTTGTTAACGCTTTTCAAAAATATTTCGAAATAATCCATCTAATTCTACGATACACCAAGGCAAAAAATGTGATTTATTCGATTGAGGTGAGTTGTGTAGTAATTTACTCAGTTGAAAGAAAGAGAGAGTAGGTGGGAGAGAAATGGATTGCCTTTATAACTGAAAATCAAAATGCCTTCTGATTCGTACAATATTTGTATCATCGTATTCCTTAATAACCCCTCAATCTTGATCTTAATCTTCTTAAAAACTCCCTAACCTTGATAGCCCCCCCCCCCACTCCTAATAACTCCCTAACCTTGATAGCTTCCCCACTCCTAAATAACTCCCTATCCTTGATAGCCCCCCCTTCCCCCCCCCCCCCTACTCCTAATAACTCCCTAACATTGATAGCTTCCCCACTCCTAATAACTCCTTAACCCTGATAGCTTCCCCACTCCTAATAACTCCTTAACCTTGATAGCTTTCCCACTCCTAATAACCCCCTAGTCTTGATAGCTCCCACACTCCTAAATAACTCCCTAATTCGATAGCTTCCCCACTCCCAATAACTCCCTAGTCCTGATAGCTTCCCCACTCCTAAACAACTCCTTAACCTTGATAGCTTCCCCACTCCTAAATAACTCCTTAACCTTGATAGTTTCCCACTCCTAAATAACTCCTTAACCTTGATAGCTTCCCCACTCCTAAATAACTCCTTAACCTTGATAGCTTTCCCACTCCTAAATAACTCCCTAACCCTGATAGCCTCTCCACTCCTAAATAACTTTCTAACCCTGATAGCTTCCCCACTCCTAAATAACTCCTTAACCCTGATAGCTTCCCCCTCCTAAATAACCCCTTAACCCTGATAGCTTCCCCACTCCTAAATAACTCCCTAACGTTGATAGCTTCCCCACTCCTCATTAACGCCTTAACCTTGATAGCTTTCCCACTCCTAATAACCCCCTAGTCTTGATAGCTTCCCCACTTGTAAACAACTCCGTAACCCTAATAGCTTCCCCACTCTAAATAACTCCCTAACCATGATAGCTTTCCCAATGCTAAATAACCCCCTAACCTTGATAGCTTCCCCACTCCTAAATAACTCCCTAACCCCGAGCTTCCCCATTCCTAAATAACTCCCTATTCTTGATAGCTTCCCCACTGATAACCCCCTACTCCTAAATAGCTTGATAGCTCCTCGTAAATAAGTAAATAAGCCAACTATTGTTACCACCCCATCTCTACTACGCTTTATTGGCTATGCTGCAATGAATTGCAGAACAATTATAAACATGTTTTGACATATGAAGATGAGGTTAACGAAGATCAATAGAGAAATTCTTTAAAGTCAAATACAAGAACTCGGTCACTTCTTCCATTTTCCACTCTTTTGGAGCCTTACGACCTATAATACACGCATCAAAAGATAACGAAGTAAGAACGTCAAAACGTAGACACGATCCAATAACTCATTGTAGATAACCTGCGAGTGAAAATTGGCACAAAATTAATGCCAACCAGCCCTGAACATGGCATTTATCGTTTAACCTAAATGACAGTTTAATCTCCTAAATACATCTATGTCTGAAATCTTGGGAAAGGTTGCACGGATCATCGCATTAGTAAATTGAATTCTTATCGAGGGCTGCATACAAAGTTCAGTCTGTGGACGACAATCAAGGAAAAGATAATCGAATATTTGGTTATGACAGTAATGAGAGACTACAATTTGATGTTATTTGTCGGTTTCAGAAAACTAATTTCAATCATCTGAATTTCATTAAGTGATCAAGGTAATGGCATTTTATTCTGATAAGCCTAATAACGCACTCACGATGTTTTCTGTTTTCATATGATTAAGGTCGATATCCAAATTTTCAGATGAAGCATGAGTAATTGTTGTGAGACACATGCAGATGTAGACATGAGATTTACATATTAAGATGTTCATGTGAGACCAACAGAAATAATATAATGTCCTGTTTGAGGTTGCGTATTCGAGTCTATCGAAGATAAGTTTTCACTTATATGACGATACATCTAGCATCTACTTGCAGATTCGAGGTTTCAATCAATTCATTTGCTCATTGTGACCGGATATTTACTTGAGGAGTCAAGCGTTTGGTCCTTCTGATTGAACGAGACCCATACCCAGGTCACATGTGCTACTTGTTATCCAACTTTTGAAAAATGCAACCCACTACAATAATGCAATCTGGGGCAGATAGGTCTTCACATACAAACTCATTCGATTCATAGAAGTAAAATGCGGAAACATTTCAGTTCCAGAATAGCTGATTTCCGGTGGTACATAATGGCAACGGAAACAGCAGTTTTTAATTAGCTAGTAGAAGTTTTGTATATGTTGATAGGAAATGATGAGTCGAATGTTTTAAAAGTACGGATCTCCATTTAATACTGCTATATAAATATTTGGATTTCAATCAAGAGAAAATTAATAGTAACAAGTTTAGCTACGAGGCGATTGTATGGAAAATCTTGATGAGAAGTGGAAACTGGTAATTGAATAGGCTTGGAGCGTTATTTAGATACTGCGGACAATGACATCTTAGCGTAGAAATATACAGCCTGAAGCCTTAACTGTTATAAGATAGACTTTATATACCTGATTTGGATTATATCCTTTGAACTGCTTTTAAATCGGTTTGTTAATTTATGAAATTAAGTCAACCGATATTGTTTTTCTTTTCCGCAAGGCATATTGTATGAAGAAGACATATTATTACTCGTCGTTCGTTATTATATGTAGATTTTATTAAACTCGAAAGGACAATCAAGTAACCATTATGATAACTTTCTCAGCTAATTCAATATCAGGAAACCATCACTTTCTCTGTAAATTTTGTACTTTCTTTAGTCCGGACTATTCTTTTTTCTGCCACTATCTATATGTATGCTATACTATAACAAAATACTAGAAAGAATCGACGCGTACCTGGCTTAATCGCAAACCATATTGGTGTCCACAGACAAAATCATCGAGGTAGACTTGAATTGAAATAGGTCCACAGGCTTTCCTTGAAGATCCTTGGATATTAAAATGAATAGCAAAGCATGTCTTTATTTGCATTAAGATAATATGCAGATACTCATTCAAGCGAAAGGCAAACTGAGCGCAACATTAAAGTTAATCTTGTTCCTGAGCCATATAGGACATGATTTATTGATTTGGGTGATTGTCCAGGAGCCGCAGTGGCTCAGTGAGTTAGACGCTTAGGTTCAGGGTTCAATCCCGGAATAGGTCGAGATAAAACCTCAACCTGGTTTCTCCCTGTCAGTGATGTAGGTAAGAGGGGTTAATATGGAAAAAGTGTCTAGTCGTTCGGATGGGACAATAAACCGAGGCCCCGTGTGCTACAGGCTGTGCACGTTAAGATTTCTCGACAGTTGGAAATCGAAAAAGAGCTAATACCGCTGTCCAGGCAAAATGTCCCTCATTATATCCTGCATGGCTTTGTCCGTCTTCATTAGCCCACATAGTGCAGAAAAGTAGGACTTAAAACTCAATTCATTTCATCTGGGTGATTGTCCGTATGGATATCAGTATAATGATAGGCTGTGATCATTGTTTGACTACATCAAGGATTCATACTTATCTAGTTGTCTTTGAATGAAAGCCAAATGCGTTAAATGTTAATAAAAGAAATTTAATATCCGAATCTAACTTTTCGGATGATATTGGTTAATGTTATGTGCTATTTTTTCTCTTTTATAACGTTCCTTTATTAATCTTTACCTATCAGGTCATTGAGTCCACTAATGATAAGTTATGGATTCCAAGGTCGAATCTCAAATTGCCCTGTCACAAAGGATAATCGTATTGCAATGAGTAGAAACAAAATGATATCAGCCTATTATTGCAATTGCCCCAGACATATTATACATGCAACAGTGGATAAAGAACTCAATAGATGGCAGTAATAATATGATTAAGAAAAACTGCACAGACTGAATTTAGTTTTTTTATGGCTGTCTCTACGTTTCTTTGTTATTTGCGCGAGAAAAAATAAATCAGAATGTGTTTAGCACAAAATTTCCTTGGTGAATACTATGTTAGGGGGGATTGTTAACGGTTGTTAAGTGGATCTATGTCTGATTGAACTCAATATAGATTCGTTTTACTGTTAAACTTAATCTAATTTGGTCACCAGTAATTGATATTGGCAACGAAATCACATTCTATTGATTAGATTAGTGCGAAATCTGTTGTGTTGAGTTTCCTCCCTTTATATGCAAACTGGTCTTCTGCCAGACTGGCGCTAATGAAGCCTTAAAGATGGAAATTTAATTTGAAAAGATGACAAGAAAATTTCCAAACCGTGAAACTTGACCTTTAAAACTGTTTATGAACATCTACTGGTGATATGTTTTTAGTGCACAGGGATTTTAATTTTTTGTAAATCTGTATGTTTCGAATTTAAAATATCACTAGTACAGCATATTTGGAAATGGTGATAAGCTTTCCTATACTGTCAGATTAAGGTATGGAAATAGAGTTTTTACATCTGTATCCGATTGACCTAATATAAACGAAAAGATTGTTGTGGTGTGCAATGTCGATTGGCATTGGCTTACAGATTCCGATCTGTCAAAGGATCGACGTGTATGACAGAAAGGGGGAATCGAGTAGTACTGGATCTATATCATTATCTGATCTATATCTGAATCAAAATCATTATTTTCTTTTGAATGAGTAATCGTCAAGACATAATAAATATGTTGTTTCAGGCAGTGTCAATCAAGATATAGTGAATATGTTGTTTCAGGTTGATCAAGATATAGTAACCATGTTGTTTCAGGTATTGTTGATCAAGATATAGTAACCATGTTGTTTCAGGTAGTGTCAATCAAGATATAGTGAATATGTTGTTTCAGGTTGATCAAGATATAGTAACCATGTTGTTTCAGGATGATCAAGATATAGTAACCATGTTGTTTCAGGTAGTGTTGATCAAGATATAGTGAATATTATGTTGTTTCAGGTTGATCAAGATATAGTAACCATGTTGTTTCAGGTAGTGTTGATCAAGATATAGTGAACATGTTATTTCAGGTAGTGTTGATCAAGATAAAGTGAACATGTTGTTTCAGGTAATGTTGATCAAGATATAGTATACATGTTGTTTCAGGTAATGTTGATCAAGATATAGTATACATGTTGTTTTAGGAAGTGTTTATTAAGATATATTAAACATGTTGTTTTAGATAAAGTTAGTAGTATACATGTTGTTTTAGGTAGTGTTGATCAAGATATAGTAATCATATAGATTCAAGTAGTGTTTATCAAGATTTAGTAGACATGTTGTTTGAGAAAAATTTGTTAAAATACATGTTGTTTCAGGTAATTTTAATCAAGATATATATGTTGATTTAGGGAATGTTTATCAAGATATAGTCTACATGTTGTTTTAGGTAATGTTTATCAAGATATAGTATACAGTTTGTTGTTTCAGGTTGATCAAGATATAGTAACCATGTTGTTTCAGGTTGATCAAGATATAGTAACCATGTTGTTTCAGGTAGTGTTGATCAAGATATAGTGAATATTATGTTGTTTCAGGTTGATCAAGATATAGTAACCATCATGTTGTTTCAGGTCGTGTTGATCAAGATATAGTGAATATTATGTTGTTTCAGATTGATCAAGATATAGTAACCATGTTGTTTCAGGTAGTGTTGATCAAGATATAGTGAACTTGTTTTTTCAGGTTGTGTTGATCAAGATATAGTGAACTTGTTTTTTCAGGTTGATCAAGTTATAGTGAACATGTTATTTCAGGTAGTGTTGATCAAGATCAGGTGAACATGTTGTTTCAGGTAATGTTGATCAAGATATAGTATACATGTTGTTTAAGGAAATGTTTATCAAGATATAGTATACAGTTGTTTTAGGTAATGTTTATCAAGATATAGTATACATGTTGTTTTAGGCAATGTTTATCAAGATATAGTCTACATGTTGTTTTAGATAATGTTTATCAATATATAGTATACCTTTTGTTTTAAGCAATGTTTATCAAGATATAGTATACATTTTGTTTTAGGCAATGTTTATCAAGATCTACTATACATGTTGTTTTAGGTAATGTTTATCAAGATCTACTATTCATGTTGTTTTAGGTAATGTTTATCAAGATATAGTATACATGTTGTTTTAGGCAATGTTTATCAAGATATAGTATACATTTTGTTTCAGTTATGTTTATCACGATAAAATATACATTTTGTTTTATGTAATGTTTATCAAGATCTACTATACATGTTGTTTTAGGTAATGTTTATCAAGATCTACTATACATGTTGTTTTAGGCAATGTTTATCACGATAAAATATACATGTTGTTTAGTTAATGTTTATCAAGACATAATATACAGTTGTTGTTTTATGCAATGTTTATCGAGATATAGTATACATGTTGTTTTAGGCAATGTTTATCAATATATAGTATACATGTTTTTTAAGTAATGTTTATCGAGATATAGTATACATGTTGTTTTAGGTAATGTTTATCAAGACATAGTTTACATGTTGTTTTTGGCAATGTTTATCAAGATATAATTTAGAAGTTGTTTAGGCAATGTTTATCAAGATATAATTTACATGTTGTTTTAGGCAATGTTTATCGATATATAATACACATGTTGTTTTAGGTAATTTTTATCAAGATATAGTATACATGTTGTTTTAGGTAATGTTTATCAAGATACAGTAAACAAGTTGTTTCTGGTCATGGCGATAAAGATTCTGTGAACATGTTGTTTTAGATGTTGATCAAGATACTGTAAACATTCAGTGACTTTTATATATGAACTTTTAAATGTCGCTGACCAAGATTAATCTGTAAAGATGTACTTTTGTTTTGCTAAGGTCCAATATTTGATGACATGTGATATATATGTTTTGTATTTATATGCCCTCTAAATAATAATATAAATTAATGTTTACATGCATTAATCTTTTGATTAACATGTAAGTGGTGTTTTTTTTTCTATCGTTCGATAAATCTTCGAGGTCTCTGTCACTGTAGATGTTTTAGATTGCTGTAAAATTTCCAAGCTTAAGCTTCTGTTCTTTGATTTCTGGCAGATTTGGAATATGTTCCTCATCGTAGTACCGTTCCGTTTTAAAGAAACCGACATCATGGGGCATTTTTAATTGACATAAAGTATCCAAACCGTTCTGTATTTTGATTTTATACGCCTACATGAACTGTGGAGCGTATATTGTCGTCACCCATAACCGTCAGGCACAATTGGTCGTAAACTCTCCTTGGGGGATTTTGACGAAACTTGGTGTGAGTGTTTGGTATCACAAATTGTTCAAAAGAAGTGTATGACTGAAGGTTGAATATTTCATATTGGTGATTGCTACTGTACCGCCAAATATTTTTATTCAAAATCAAAGCTGCCAGTGAGCGTATGTTGTATGGCGAGCTTTCTTTAATTAAGAAGGCCACAGCGCCGTGTTTTAAATTGAGAAAGTTACGTTATAATGTAGATATTAAATTCTTTATTGTTGTTTTGGAGCTATTTAATCAAATATTAAATAGGGAAAATTCTCTTTAATTTTTTTCTAAAACTGATAGTCTGAAGATAAAGTTGCCTCATTTATGTAATTAATTCAAGAATTTCCAGGGAATTAACCATTATATAGATTTCAATTACACTGTGTCGCTGTGGAGGTCTCTTAATAATCTTTCTACGCCATACTGGTCAGCAGACACTGCATTAGCCGCTAGAGTGGTAACCTTAATCATTACGTGTCTGGAACATTGCGGCTCTGGTTAAACTACTATCAAACATTATAGAAGACATGTCCATTTATAGGTTACAATAGAATTTAACTTGTTTGCATCAGTGATTTTTGACTGGCACGAACCAGACAAGTACAATTATCTCTTGTCACTCAAAAGAACAACCATCATAATGTTAAAGAAGCATTGTCTTTTATTCCACTGACCGAACGTTTTTGGTTGAGTTACGTAATCGACTCAATCTTAATCAGCACAAGGACAGACCTTTTTCATTGGGGATAGATGAATCAAGTACTAACGATTCAAACCGCAACACGAAACCTGAAATCCATTTTGGCAAAATATCAAACTGTATTGTTATGGAATAGAATTGATAGTAAAATTGATTGTAATCTAATTCAAGTATCAAAACCTTTAAATTGGAAATTGCAGATTTAGCCCTCCCAAATAACATGTTTCCATGTAAACAACTTTCGGCCGAATCAGTAGTATTAATCGCGTATCATTACAGGGAAGAATTGGAATTCTAGCTTAGGCCCCCTCAAGGTCAGCTTCAGAAGGAGGCGAAAACAACGGTAGAGCGAAAGGGCAAATGCTGACTTGAAGATGCAACAGGTATCAGTCTGGGTGTTGATCTTGCTGGTAGTTGTAGATATTCGAGCAAGAACCTCGAAGACCGAACGGTTCAGCTACGCTGGCTGAAATATCAACCTCTTTGTGCCTTTTAGGACGTCAATAGACGGGAGGGTCGAAAATCTGTATTACGTGGGTGGGGTTGGAATTATCGAATCAGTGGAAAATTGAATAAACCGAACACGGAAGTCACATGCAAGAACACGTTTTGGAATTATATGTCCATTGTAATGTTGAACTGATACGTACAATGATATGAAAGTTTGCAGCTTTCCAAGATCCAAGTGAGGCTCTCTGACTACAAAAAACTGCAATTTTGTGAGCATGCACAACTAACAATTTGTGAAGGTCTACGATGGCAACGTTTATTTGTTAACCCGAGCAAGACGCGTGTTAGAAAGTCTATTCTTTCATGTAGGTGGGATTCTGACCTCGCGACATGAAACGAAACAAAATAGATCGTACAATCTGAATTAAAATAATATTTTTAATAGTTCATTTTGCAATTCCAGTAAAGATTTAAGCACACTAGCATAATAACAAATTTATACAATACGATCATTGTAGTCACTTTAAAACATTTCGGTTGTTTTATTTTGCAATAAAATACTTCCACTGTGGTGCAGTTGTCATATTACATAGATCCACCACTAATAGTACCAGTTCGTAAAAAGTCTCTAAATTCAGTTTCAGTCGTATAAGAAACTGAATAATCAGAACAATTAGTCATTTCAGTGAAATAACAGTCTGAATATTCATAGAAAGAAGTGAGGTGTTCAACCCACTGTAGCGATAGAATAACCAAATATTCATAACAATCAGTCATTGCAGTGAAATAACAGTCTGAATATCCATAGAAAGAAGTGAGTTGCTCAACCCATTTCAGCGATAGAATAACCAAATATTTATAACGATAATAAATTTAATTGGAATAACAATCTTAATATCCACAGAAAGAAGTTAGTTGTTAAACCCAATTCATTCCTATAACAAACTGAATATTCATAACAATAAGTAAGTCGTTCACATATCACATAAATTTTGTCCAACTAAGCATTATTGGCCATTGCACCAGGAAATGTTTTTAAAACTGCATCACAATAATCAACAGTAAGAGTGGAAGTAGTTAATAATTCATCACCATCGTACAAATAACTTATATAACTTATTTATAAAGTAATAATAAAAATATAACTAAAAGTCAAATTACTAACAGTACACAAAGGGTTATTTGCAACGTTCGGTTAAAATCTTTTTAAATGCTTTCCTAAATTCGGGGTTAAAGATTGTATAGATAACAGGGTTTAGAAAACTGTTGATGTAACCCAACCATACAAATATCCCTATTAGAACTACTGGTGAATTACAAGCAGCGTATTCGAATAAATCATACCGGATACAGATAGCGTTGATGATGTTTATAGTAAAAAATGGCCACCAACACAATAAAAATACACCTGAAAATATACAAGAATAAATATTTTATTAATGACTGTGCGGTAGATTATGACAAGTCAGTGCCCTGTCCCTTCCTCAGACATGCAGATGGGATATCGGCCAGACATAAAATGTCACTTTTTATGGTAGTAGTTACGATCCATTTTTGGAATCTATACAAATCTGATGCCTGGTCGTAAATGAGCCGATATCCCATCTGTATATCAAGTCCGATGAACGGAAAGTGCTAGAATTTTCAGACTGGGATAAACCCATTCGAAATGAGAGATATTGTTTTGTGAATGAATAAATGGTAACGATTAAAGAAGTATTGGGGAACAAGTAAACTTAGACACAATTAGGTTCTTTGTGAAACATTACATCACATTTTATGAAATTTAAAATTAGCAGCATGGGGATCACTTTCGGATATTCATTCAGAAATCCCAAAAGACCATTTGAGAAAGAAGTGGGAACTAATGCCAGTTAAATTGAATTAAACCTTTCTCTGTTCTGAAGGTCGTGTCGTGGGTGACAACGTCCTTGCTTAAAGTATTAAACCACAGCTCTGGGCCTTAACTAAAGGAAAATCCATTTGTCATTGAAATCTGATAAGCCTTTCATTACAACGTTTTCGGTAGACTTTTAACAGAAACCACCTTTACAGGATGACAGCAAATAGCGATAAATCTAGCGGATATCATATTTTTATTTAAAAATATGTAATAAAATTTTTTTTTTTTTTTAAATCGGTATGAAGTAATTGCCTTGATGTAGTTACGGCCCTGCAGTTTCAAAATAGAACACATTGCAGCCTGGCAGATTTTTTCACCAACGCGAAAATAGCAAAAGGAACGTCTAATTTAGTAGTCAAAACTACATTGGGCTCCAAGAGCATGAAAGAGACCCATACCCATATGGAAAGTGTATTTCATCACCTATGGGTATTCTGTAAGCCTGGTTCGAATTTTTTCCCAGTACTAAAATCTAAGTCAAGCCAGGATATTATTTTGAAGCTATATATTAATTAATCAATATTCGGAGTTAAAAGAAAATGGTATCTTTTTCTTCTCTACGTGACTTACATTCCACCAAAAGATTCACGTGCTGAACAAATTCGATATTAAAGGTTAAAAGAAGTTCAAATTAACTTTTATCAAACAACGGAAGTATTATTTTTGTCTGGATTCAAAGAAAGCGCCACAGAGAGAACATTTGTTTTGGTCGAATATAAATTTCATCGATTTCTTACCAAACGATTTGTGAGAGAAATAAAAATTCAAGTACCCTCGAGTTCACGAATTACTAACGTCAATCTTTAACTAAACTTCATTACAAAAAAGCCACAACACATGCATTGAAATGCTGTCTTGCTTTGGGCATTCAAGCGCGAGTCATATTTTTATTTGCCGCGAATAATGTCCCTTGATGTCAGCTCTTCATCACTGGAGGGAAGAACTTTATGCTATGATCTGACAAAATGAGGAGTTTTCATCAGTTTTCAAAGACAGCTTCACATTGATTCATTGGATTAATTTTCTGCCTTTTTTCTTTCTGATGCTAAGATAGAAGTGAGTTTTAGTCCCAGAACGCGGATACCATTAGATTAAGTAATCTGTAAAACTCGTGGTTAGAGCGAGAAATCCAGGAGCGTGGATGAATTTAATGATATTATACTAGAACTCAAATTGCAAATCTGTCTTCGTCTGCTTCGGTTTAACGAGAAATGGCGAGATTTTACGGTATGAAGTTTAATCTAATGATTGCTTTCTATATATAAGCGCTGTTGTTCAGTCAATTTTAAAACAAGATAAACTTTTCTAGCGAGTTAATATCCATCCTGGTACGGCACATAAATCACAAATTGCAGTTCTTACGGAGTTTAGAAGCCATTTATATAACTCGTTTAACTGCCTGATCTCAGACAACAGTTGCGAGGTGAATAAAGTTTGGTTAGTTAATTGCATAAACAAGAGTCAAATCTCTTTATATCCCAAATAAAATTTCTAATTTTGTGTGAAGGTAAAACCTCTTGAAAATATGTTCATCGATTCAATTAAATCAATGGATAGCTGTGGAAAACAATCAAAGCGGTCCAAAGTAACCTGGAAAAGCTATTTTCAAGGATTTCTTTTGTTATTATAAAAATAATTGCAAGAGTATCAAGATTCTGGCCACACTCACCTAAAACTATAGCTAATGTCTTGGTTGCCTTTCTTTCTCTTTTAGATGACGAACGTTCTTTACGTTTCCTACTTGTTCTCATATGAAAATTAAATTTCGTTACACCTTTTTTATGGGTTTCCTTATTTCTATTTTCGTCTTTTTTCACACTACCTTTAGTGTGTAAAGGCGATAGCTGTGCACATCTCGGAGCATTCGGCGAGTTAAATTTAGTTTCCGCTTCCGCTGAAGGCGTATCACCAGACGTTGTTGCTGAATTATTGCCAGCTGTTTCCTGTTTGTCTAGTGCTTCCGCGACAGGATTAGCAATTAATTCACCCACACCGTGAATATGTGTACCATTGTCTTCAGGAGTTTTGGAATCACTTCCGTCATTGCCGTTACTATCATTTTCACCTTGAGAATCGGAGCCTGTTCCAGCATTTGTCACTGAAGTATCGTCAACGACAGGCGCGGCAAGTTTATGAGCTGTGTTTGTATTATATGAGGCCGGTTTGCCATTGTCTATTCGTGCTAACCCGGTTGTTACTGTCGGCTCAGTCGGTGGTGCCGCTGTAGCCGCAGTATTTTCTATAACGCTTTTTATTGCTTTTTGGTCTGTCTTTAACTTTTTCTTCTGTGCTAAAGCTCTTTGTGACCTGGCGTGTAGAACTCGCCAAATTCTATAATATAGATATATCATGATCAAGGATGGAATATAAAACGAACCCATAGAAGAATAAATAAGAAAGTCTGCATTGAAGAAATTACAAGCACCCGGTGTTCGTTTGTCACTATAATTTACGCCCAAAGCGATTGGTGCCGCTATGGCCACTGATATAACCCAAGTTAATGCTAACATAACAAACACACGTTTTGAGTTCTTGTGCTTTGAATATTTAATAGGTTGTGTTACGGCTATAAATCTGAAATAGAGAGAAAAAAGATTAAGCGAAAGTGAGTAAGATGCATTACAGGACGTTGTTGATTTCGAGGATAATTTTTCCTAATACATGAATTGTTTCAGCAAGATGAATGATCCGAGAGGATTTCATGTGACATAACAAATTACAACTCATCTCCATGGAAACAATTTAGATAAATGCTTCAGATGGTATTTGGAATTTAATGGGATTTTGTCGCTCTGCAGCTGGGGTAAAATTCGTTTGATCAACAGAATTGAGAGAAATGAGATAGGTCACTTGAGCAATCACAGAATCCAATGATTTCATCATTTTTTCTTTCCACTTTCGGTTAAAAAAGACAGAGAAGACGTCACAAGATAATTTAATGCCATTGTAAGCGGCTGGTAAAATTTAATACCAATGTGGCCCAGGTCAGAGCCTGTAGATCAATGATGTTCTACCGAACACTCTTCTGGTTATTTGAAGAAGAAGTCGATAATGTGTCCAAAGTATGTGAGTGGATTAAATACACCTAATTTGTTTTAACAGTCACTAAGGTGAAGAGACAATTTATTTTTTTTTAAATTCAGTCGAACTTGTCACGATGGCAAATATCCATACTCACTATATATAAGTAGCAATAATGAAAGCTCCTTTTGAAAATAAAATGGCAGTAGCCCAGCAACGTGTGTTGGTAAATTGATCACAATAAAGCATCAAAGAACTTAATTCGTAACTCATCCATTAGTATTTGACTTATCTTAGACAGTTTAAGTGCTTGATTTTTAATTGTCAAACTTTATTAGTCAAGATTATCTAGCATATTTTCTATAACAGGTTTTGATCATTAACTTAAAGATTTAATGACTTCAACATGAAAATAACGTGTTGTGTTCTTCTACGTAGATATTCTGTGTGCGCTTTATCTGAAAAGAAGTAAGCCTATCAGCCTTCTCTTTTTCGATAACTACCGAGGAAACAACAGGGTTAGCGACTTTGTCCCATACAACAAAAGTTTTAAACTTAGCAATTACTGTTTTTTTTAAATACAATACTAGTAAGCTTAAACCGCGAGTCAGGTTACATTTGTTCATCTTTGTAATGTTATAAAAGCTCAATTTCCGGTGTCCGTATTACTTTTGAAAAATAAAGCCGACTAAATGTTCCTTCCGTGCAGACATCTTCGATCACGTAAACATATCGGTGAGGTGAAAATATGAATTACGACCAGGAAGTAACGACAATCTCGAAGTGAACGACTTGTTTTCAATGAAATCTAAGGATTCGGACGCATATTAATTGTCAATTGCCGATATCCTGATTAGAGCTCTTTCAGTATATAAAGCTACATATTCAGTCGATTATACCCCCGTTTTATTACAGAGTAATAATGAAACGACCTTACCTATCTACACTAATAGCAGTTAGATTTAAAATGGAAGATGTACATGCCATAACATCTGAAGCAACCCAAGCATCACAAAGAGGATCACTTAATAACCAAGCTGTAGTTACCTGCAATGTATAGAAAAAAAACATTTAAGCATTTTGACCAGTTGAACATTTCAAAATCTTAAAATCTTGACTAACAGTAATTTAGCCATTCCGCTAGATGCAGTGATCATTTTGCATATGAAGTTTCAGACACCTGTTAAATTTTAGGAATAAAAGTTGAACATTCTGTTCCTGTTCCGCCTAACTGTTGCAAACAGATGCGCCATTTTCAGAGGTTGATCTTGAGTCTCGAATATATGTCTTAAAAAGTACTAGAAATGTTTGAAAATCAATCTGCATCTTAGTTATCAGCCTATGGTCTTCATTTAGTGCTTGCAATTCTTTTTATGAGATAATGATGGTCATATGTACTTGACTTTTACGCTTAAAAATGTTTATTACAGTCACATTCAAAATTATTTTAATTCTGAAAATTTGAGATAAATCTAACAGATATCTGCTTTTTAAACGATGTTTAAATAATGAAATAACACGTTTTAAATGTCTGGCATGCAGTATTTTAAGTCTCTTAAAACAATCTCCAGCATAAGAGATTATAGATTTAATAGACCAGGAACAAAGAAAACAAATTGCTATATGATGCGGGATATTATTTGTCTATCTACTAACCCACTGAGGGATTAAAATGTTATATAATGCAATGGCGATTTGGATTTGTCTGAGCTTCATTGTCTATCGGGAAAACAATGTATAGTGTTCCATACAGTATTCTCTGTTTAATCTGACATGCGATGGATTGTGGAGAGTGTTGAGGTACTCAAAGATCAGGAACAATTGTGGTGTTCAATGTCATGAAATTGAATGTTATTAGATTACATGTTGACAGGCCGTTATGTTATACAAAATTCATATGTCGAACATCTAGAACAGAACAAATATGTTGATATCTTGATTCGCAGGAACATGGAAGTAGATCGATGTTTTGAAAATGTATGTATATGCTATAGAATAGGTAAGATGCGGACCTATTGCTGAAAAAACTTAGAAATTTGAACTGTTTTTTTTTTGGCATAGATTACCCCAGATTCTTTTTTTCAGTCGGGTTCCCCCTCTGACAGTGGTGATAGTTTAGATTGGGACAATCAACATGAGCTATGTGCTCATACAGAACCCTCAACACAAACAAGAAAAGAACCAAGAATAACGTCTCAACATTTACATTTTTTCTTCAACAAAGCAAATTTTTCTCAAATTTCAAAGTAGTTAATTCATTTAAGACGTACATGTATTGACGACAATTATGAGTGAGTGAGTGTTTCGTTACGCAAAATTTCTCCGTTACACAGAAGGCGAGATAAAACAGTATCAGATCTATATGTAGTACTCTATAGTCCCCTTTGTATATTTCTCTATTAGTCTTAATTAATATGTACGAGAAATTGTAATAAATTGATTAATATATTTGTTTGAACTATATTTGTCAAAGCATTATCCTTTCCATAGCATCACCTTGGCTGCTTTGGGAATAAAATAATTCAGACCGATCTATTTTCATCACACATCCTAAGTCACGACCTGTCTATATAATACGCTGGAGATTCTATGTTTACATTTAACGATAATTTTCAATTTCTTTGTGCTAAATACTTAACATACCAGTTTCTAAGCGACCAAGGTGAATTGAAATTACCGATGGGGGCCTTAAACCTAGCTCAAACATTTTTCAACATTTGTAATTGACCAACATTGACAAAATATAGATTGTGGTGACATTTTACTTCTCAGTTAATGTTCTAATTGAGCCAGGTTAGTGGCATCCCTTTTTTTATTTACCCACAATTTGGCAGAACAGAAAAAAAACTCTACAACTATCACAAGCATACAAATACTAATGTATAGTAAGGTATAAAAAGATGCTGATAAATTTAATTTTGACAATATTAAATCTGTTCCGAATCAGTAGATTAGCGAGTATGTATCATGAATTAAAACAAAAAGCCGATGTTTGGTTTATCAATATTTATGGTGTAAATAATCTAATATTGTTTTAATAGGATAATAATAATTCCCTATCTATGATTTCTGTCATTCGCATTGATTTTCTCTCTCTCGGGTCACGACACAAGTAGTATTTACTTAATCTCAACACATATCTTCTGAGTCAAGGTTACACAGGAAGCTTGCAGACTTACCTTGTGTATTTGGTCAAATTTAAAATAAGTTTTCAAGACAAGACTTTCTAGACTCTATGTATGTGTATCGAGAAGCTTTAGCTTTATATTTGGACCATTCGGATCTCTCTCATACGATGCATGTCATTCCCACAATTCACTAAAAACCTGCTTAGTTTTTGATGTTTTTATCGAAAATACTGTTAGCTTTCAAACGGTTTAGCAAAGTCAAAATCAACCACAAACGTCGGAAAGAAAACAGCCGATATTTTGTACTTGTTACAAATAATAAATATATTTCACAACATTTGAGAGATATAACAAGAATCGTTGCTAATTTTGAGTAAGTTTGTACACAGACTTTAGTCATTAAACTTCAGGACACCGCTTTGCCCGATTTTACATTTAATTAAAATATATAAGATGTAAACTTCAGTTAGTCGATTACCACAATTCTTGGTTACTGATGTAATTATTTTGAAACTTTCCATGTTTTAGTGGTTTAAGATGTGTTTGACGAACACAGATGCTACTGTTCAATTGATCTTCTTAAATGGGTGCTACTATTTGAACACTATTTAAGAACGCAAATGTTGGCAACTCCGCAAAGTATAGCCTACTCAGCAACTTTTAAACCAAAAGTACAAGGAATAATAGACAATGTATTGGGAAATACTCTTTAATTTAATAAAAATTGCCAACTATGTGGGAGAGACGATAACTTGTAGCTATGTAATCATAAGATTATTATCAAGTCAAAATTCCATAACATGCCAAAACCAACTGCATATTAAAATATTCTATATTTTTTGAAAAGATAAGATCAATATATATATATTAGGATCATATTGCAATTGAAATGTATTGAAGCGGATATCCTGTATTGTATTGCTAGACAATGCTCAATCATTTCGATCATGAAAGCTTGATTATTGTTATATTTCCATATACAATTCTATAAAGGACTTTTCAAGATGGTGGTTAATGGTTTTCTTCAAGTAATCTGACCTACTGACCCGATTTATACACAAATTGATAGTAAAAAAGAAAGAAATAAAACGCAAATTTTTCTTTCTGTAGATAGTTTTACTTTGACGCAAATAAGCACTAGCTGAATGTAGCCAGCTTTAATGGGCGAATTGGGTTTCTGAGCTTCAACATCGCATTATTAAAGTTATTTTATCCTTGTAAAAAGTCTACTATATATAAACAGGATTTATTTTCCATGTACACCTACTTAAATTGAACAAAAGCTCATCTCTCTTTGATAATTCCATCTTTTATTCTGACTCTAAAATGATCATTTTTCAACTTCAGGTTAATTAACTGACAGACGACGTCCGACTGAGCTAGAAAGATGACACCAAATGAACTTCCTAAAGTCTTTAAATAGAACCATGTGGATGAATTACTAGTGAATTATGTCATATCCGACCGTATGTCGAAGGATCGTGTCCAAGACGGAAATCAAGTCTGAAGAACTGCAGGAGAAACTTGTGTTCTCTACTTGATCACAGTAACATCAAGGCTTCTATGTTTAATCACTGATAGCGTCAAGTGATTACTTTTCATGAAAGGCAAGACTCGGATGGTTTCCGGTTGGCGAGCTTAACTGACACATGGATCTCAGATTGACAATCAACATTTTAAATGGACAAAGTTCAAAACCTGACGGGCCAATAACCCGACGTAAATTAACGATTTGTCAAGTCAAAGATAATCTGGGATTTAAACGTCTTTAGCCTGTCCATTCATTCGAAAGAGAGAAATAAAAAATGAAACCTGACTTAAATAGATCTGTCATGAAATAAATTTTCTAAACCTCATATAGAAGTTTCACTATCGCCTTCATTGATAAAATTTCTTGGACCCAAATCTTGCAAAATCGGAAAGAATCCATCGTACACGAAGCGAAGAACTTCACATATGATCAAATCCAGTTAATGTAAAGGCATAATCAAATGAAGTTAAATTCAGAACTTAAATCTAGGCACTTGAAAAATGAAATGATCAAATCAAGCTACCACTAGAATCTAATTCAGATGCGATCAATTGCTGAGACAGCATAAAATAAATCTAACAGTAACAATATGATCAAATCAAGTAACAATCATGATTAAAATCTAGTTGTATAAACAGGTGTAACACACAAAAATGAAATGATACTTTGATCAAAGTTACGAATATTTGTACCATCATGAAACATATGTAAAGCTTCAATCATGACAAACTCTAAAATCATGTAACAATTTAAACGTATGATATTGTATTCAAAATTCATTTCTCTGTGGTGAAGTTCAGGTGAAAGTCAGATTTCTCAAATTCAGCGTTTTAATCTGCTCTACTTAATTAAATACTTAATTAACCAGACAGACAAATTCATGCAACTGAAGAAAATTGATTTAAAATCAAGCACTTCCTGAAATCAAATCCATGAGTAGAGTAAGATTTTACACACATTTATGCGCATGATTTCTTTTGCTTTTCACTATATTTCGATAAAAAATACCAATGCACAAAATAATCATACCCAGTAATGCCAATTTAAACCATTTTTTGTGAAGTATGTTATCATTAAAGGCCTTACAGGAAAACAGAAGGAAATTTGAGGGAAATAATCACATTTCAAAGGAATTTGAATTCGGATTTGGTGGTTAATAGAAACGTAGATAGATTGGATAGATGTCATATAAAGTGGTGTACAAATTAAGATAAGGAACACCTGCTGTTTTGTACATATACCTTGAAAAATAATTTGTTCTTTCCATCAAAAATTTAATTGAAAATTCGCCTTTGTCATATAACGAGCTGTGTGGACTCGTGTTTAAAATATTTCTAAAGAATTTAGTGGTAGCAGTAGAAAAAGTACAACTGCAATCTAGCAGATTTTGCTAAAATCTCTAATTCAAGATAAATTTTTGAAGAGTACAGATAAATTAGGAACAAAATTATTTTAAATCAAAATAATATTTAAAAAAAAGACTTCACAATTCCGTATAGAAAATAGACTTGAAGAACAAGACTTCTTCCGTTTTGTTCACTGTTATTGACTATAGTTAATGCAGAATTGTACAAATTCGTGTTAGTTTATAACCTGACGGTAATTCAAAGATTACCCACTTCACGTACATGTGGAATGACTAATTTTGCAAAGAAAAGACTCACTTCAGGAGGAGCAAACAAACGTAAGATCTTACCTCCATATATACAGCAAATGGCATCACTAACACAGCTACAAAGATATCAGCTACAGCCAATGAACATATAAAATAATTAGTGACTGTTCTTAAACTTCTCTCTCTATATACACTCATAACAACTAATATATTACCAAACACTGTCAATATAGGAATAATGATTAATAATATTGCCCAGTATCTATATTCCATAGGCTCTTCTATCGTCGTCTCATTATCAAACTCGAAAGACGACATATTAAAAAAGCACATGGTATCATTAACCTCACAGTCCCATTGGGGACTGCCGGTACCATAAAGTTCTAAAATATCAGCAGTTGTAGCCATCGGGTCGCTCGTTGTAGCGTTTACGATCTGTTTATGTAAAGTCCGAGAAATATTTTGAGCTAAATTGTTAGTGGCACTCGACCTGCCTGGAGGTGGGTCCACGGTAACGTCATTGTTCCCCATGTCACCTATGTAGGTTCCTCTCCCACCACTTTGGAACCTTGCTGCTCTCTCGTCCTCCGGTACATATCCCCGCTTATGTCTTTCCAGAATCATGATTACATCCTAAGTGTCCTCAAAGAGCGCCACACACTTTCCAATATAAAGTCACTAAGTATAAAATTTGAAGTTTCTGTTTGAAGTAAAGTTTACGAAATGCTTGGAATCCAAAATTTGATGAATAAGTTCCAGTATCCATGCACACAGTCGAATGCCTTATAAAACTCCAAACGTATATATCCAGTGTATGAATTAATAACTGCCAACAATTCGGACAGTGGTCACCTTTTATACTGACCACGAATCTAATCTTGGGTGTATATGACAAATGCAGTTTGTAAATAATCAGACAAATGTATGGCGTGTAACAAAAACAGATTCAAAACCATATGAAGTCTAAAACCCCGCCGTTCACAAAATCAATAATAATTTGCCGAGGTAGCTAAAGATTTGTCCAAGTAAAGTTTTATCGGTAGGTACTGTGTAGGTCTTCCTAGGATCAGTTGTCGAGTAGCTTTTATTACTAAGATATTGTTACTTCACTCAATAAAAATGATCTCAACTCCTAATTACATCTCTTGGACTAACTTATGTAATTTGTAATAAAGACAAAATGAGTGGTTTATTTATTATCGAGATTCCAATCTCGAGAAAAACAATTTCACTCTGAAGGTTATGGAATAGAATAAATGTGATTATTGTTTGAGATTGTTAAGAAATGAGAAACTCCTTTTACGGGTAAAAATTAAATTATATGTTTTGAATGTAAGATAATGTCACTTCCCCACCGACCTTAACGCAATAATCCTCCATAGTTTTTTTTAATGATAACTTGGAACTCGAAATACTGTATGTTTCACATTAAATGTAACTTTTTATAAAACTATATCTTCTTTGTATAAATGCGGCGAATGCATTAAAATTCTTTTCGAAATGTCTTCAAACTAACTTAGTTTTCCACAAGAAAAAATAAAATGTATATACAAGGCCTATCAACGTGTAATTTTCGCGTGCACAAATTTAATCAGATTTAATCTAAAATCCTTTTAAAGCACCATTCTATTCTAGCTCAAAGAAATAGACTCAAAGTTTTGTATCCCTCGGTAAAGAATAAATATGTATTTTCCAATAACTCAAAGTGGAAAAACAGCAGGGTTGAATAAACAAATGAGTAAAAGAGGAAAGCGAGACTGATGATACGTTAATTGAAAACTAGTTTTTATCCAAAGCTCTAAATATTCTCTGATCAATGATTGCCACTGACTTTAACGCGTTTAGCGAACAGAAATCACTTTAACTGTTTTAAGATTGGTAAACGTCTCTCACTTGGAATCATAAGGTAGTAAATCACTGTCACTATTCATACTACACATTTATGATGTTTGACTTTGTTTGATGTAAAGCACTTAAAGAAATTGTTTCAGTCGGAGCTGGAGAACATCGAATTTCTTTCACATGGTTAACATATTAATTATTTTGATATTTTGTCGGCACTTTTCAAACGGAATTCCCTTCATTTCTCGAAGGTCGAGATAAAGCTAAATCCACTCTACTGTGATTCTTTGAAGAAGTAGTTTTTGATAGAACGATTTTCTAACTAGACGGTCAACTTTACCATGGCATGTCAAAACAAAATGTCGTTTACAAGTCGCATGTTGAGGACAGGTACTTCCATGTTCAGGGTCACTACGTTTATTGACTGTCTATTTAACATTGAAAAGGAAATGATTTCAAGAACTGAATTTCCGATTAGAGGAACAGAATGGTGTGTATCTGAGAAAACAAAATTACAAGATTCTCGTCACTATTGCTGGTATCATATTATTAACGTGTCAACAACAGACAGTGGACTTCTAACGTGACTTGTCCTCGTCTTCCGTACTTGCTTAATCGCTGCACGTGCCAGATAGACGACTGAATTCGATTTAGTCAACGTAAGTAGCTGTGTGAAGAACTGTTCAAGTGATGTTGAGGTAGTCACAGATTTATACTAGCATTCTTCAATGACGTGACAATAGTCTGACCAGAGGTGAATTGAGAAAAATGTTCCGTCCAGAAGGTTGCGTTATTGGATATTACCACACACGATATACTCGAATATGTGACACCGAGATTCGCTGGTTTTGAAGATGATTAAATGCCATGATCCCGTTTTACACTCAAACACTTAATCTTAATGACGATCTTTATAAATTCCATTAAAAATATGTTTCTTATATTCTAATTGCATACTGATTGCTACTTTAACACCATTTAGCTTAGTCCATACAGAATCTAATTGTATCGTCTGGTTTAGGTAATATAACCCCAAGCACTGTCTAATCCACTGGCTTGCTGTAGCTATAAACGTTTATTATCTACAGTTAACCTGGAAATAAAAGAAAATACATTTTATTAGTCTTTTGTAACAAAAAAGAAATCTCAATAGTAATAAATCATGGCCATTTATTATTTCAAAATCTTTTTTATTTCCATACAATCTGTTCCTGTAAGAAATCAAATCGTATTTATGGTTTCATTTACATCGGATTTCCCAAGACGCGTTGTTATTTTTATTGAATAACTTGGTATTGTATGATATTGGCTTGTATGAACTGAATTCTTATTGTACAGATGATTTATTTCTTTAATTTTGATCTTTCTGCCATGCCTAAATTTGGTTGTTTTACTTTTCTGGAATCTCCGCACTGATATATCAAAAGACTAAACTGACCTGGAAACGGATTGAATGGGTAAAACCTTTTAAAAAAATTACGTATTTAGGAACATATTTCGATGATTATAGTTTTGGAAAAGCGTGTTGCCTGGACATTTGTATTAAGAGTAGAACATTACAGTAGTCTGGTAGCTGTTTAAAGACTAGATTTATTGTAGAGTTTAGAAATTCGCAGCACGTAATGTTGGCGATTCTAATTCTACTCTCTCTGTCTTAATTGACTTGATTTATATTTTTTGTGTCGGAAGGAAATATTATCGGGTGAAAAACTCCAATGAACATATTACCATAGAAGTAGAACTTGAATCGTAAGAAGATTTGAGATCTTAATACCTTGTCCAATGCAGTGAGACAACCGTAATTCTTATAGTTCATAAATCTTACAAACTGCCATGGTAATTTCTGTCTGTGGCTAACATTATACAACTTGCTAAGATATTTCTTCTGTGCTATTAGATTATATTGAAACTGGGCTTTCTATATATTATTAGAGAAATTGAACAATTTGGCAAACATAAATGGCCAAATCACATAAACATATTCCGACAGCATTCATGATCATTCTCGTGGTTTACGAAAATTAGAAAAAATGAATAAATATGCATTGTGATATACTCGTCAAAAATGACAAGTGTGTGTTGTTAAATGTATATTCCTAAAACCGATTTGCTTAATGAACCGAAAAAGGTGGATAACAGCTAAATAAGGTACATCAGTATTCAAAAGACGAAAACCATTCTGTAATAATATTGACCGATTTTCACAGATTTGGATAAGAGCACCATTCATGAAGCATGATTGCCCCTTTATTCTCAAAGAACTTTTTAAAATTCGCTACTAGGCGAAAATCGAAAGACGAAAACGTTCAGATGTCGATGAATATTATTGAAGTTAGTATTTTAAGTATATTGGTTAAGTGAGGCTTAGTCTACATTACTGCGTCCTCAAGTGATCTAAGTATATTGGACTAAGAAAATTAGTGTCGAGGAAATAGGAATCTTACAGAAAGGAAATTTGATGTACAAAGAGGCTACTGACCACGATATGTTGAAATTGTGTGACGTCAATGTGCAATCAAAACGATATCTGTAGAGTACTATGAAATTGGGTGGATTGTTCAATAGTTTTCTGTATCAGAGTCAATGATTGAATTCGTCAACAATAGTGATTCATCAAGTTTTTTCATTGAAAGGCAAATGAAACTGTTATAAATGAGTTAATATTATAGAATGTCAAAGTCGTGTCATTGAACAACGAAATTTCCTGTATTTGTATTAGTGGTAAAATTGGTTTACTACAGCACTAGTGCAACGATATGTATCTACACATCAAACATTACTGAATGCTATACTAATTATTTTATGCGTTTGTCTCTTTATAATTGATGGTATTAATAGGTATATATCTGATATCAACTTTTATAAGGTTTCAAGTACAAGTAATAAATTTCACATAGATACATAGTGACATCGTTGTCTTGTTTGTTGATTACTAGCTCTGTGAAATACGTTATATAGTAATATTTTTATTCCATTGTTCTCAATTTTATTTCCGGTACCTGTAGAAGTGACATCATTTCTTACATGCGATACGAAATCAATCAACTGAATCGATCCACCTTAAAGGGGGTATACCTTCTCACCTCTATAAACATCTAACAGGGGGCTAAGGTGCGAATATAGAAATGGAGGCTGACCAGTGGGGTTACTATGGGTAATAGAAAAACCAAACGCGTCCGAACCGTACCTTTTACCGTATATTTAAGTCTTCTATTTCTACCCTAACAATAAATAAATCAAGCACCAACGATACGATATAATGTCTCGGTATACATATTCTCCATATTAATTTTGATGCTTTGATTTCTATTATTAGACTTGCGTTAAGTATAAAATAACATATATCGCCTTGATATCAATTCAAATTTAATGTTTTCCTCAAGTATTTTATCTCAACCGCCATAAATTCTCTACGACAAGCTGCATTGTTT